ACGATTACCCCATCAATATTAGTTAGTGTTGACAATATATAGAAGTGTTTTTTTCTAGACAGCTTGACGAGTAATTAATTGATTATGATGTGTAAAACTTTCATGTGATTGGTTGTTTGTTTGAAGGCAAGGCCTTGGAGTCTCTTCTACTGATTGTAATTGGTTAAGGAGTGACAAGAAATAAAGAGTGATTTAATGCTGTCTCGGGTGAAAACCAGGGACTTGGCAGAGAATCGTTTGGGAACATGAACGAAGCTTGTGTGTGTTTTTGTCAGCCTAGCGTGGAAACGACCGAATCCCGGTTACCTAAGTGAAAGGTTTTTAACCATCAAAAATACCTATCACAGTATATCCAATCCTATAGATTTCTCATTGTTTGGTATAAAAATATTACCCACACAGCATTCTACAGGTTACTTGTATTCTCTGTATAAATTGAGAGAAGTTAGTTAGAACATGGCTTTGTCAGCTGATCTTGATTGACTGTACCGCGTAAAACAAAAATAAAATTGAATAAATTGTTGCAAATTATTGCAAATTATTGCCATGTTAGAAGTAAACTGTACTGCGCAAAACAAAAATAGAATTGAATAAATTGTTGCCAAGTTAGAAGCCGGTTATTTACAACCTATACTTGCTCTTATTCTTCAACATTAGAAACATACCATTCGATCCACAGGGATGACAATACACACATTAACATACATTTCCTAAGGAACGGCTTTTGAAACATCTAAAATAAAAAAAAAACAATTATCAAAGAACAAATTGGATTCATGCCTAAATGAAGTACCGAAGAACATTAATTTTTCTATAAACAACTAAGCACAACATTTCTAAGCAACAAAAAGACATTGTTTGCTTGCTGTATTGACTTCCAGAAAGCCTTTGTTTCCATCTGGCACCTTGAACTCTGTTGGAAACTTATACAAAGATGAACTAGGAAATTCTTCTGAATGTAATCTATACAAAGAGAAATGCGAAATGTTGATTAAAATATTAACTACAATAAAACCAACTTTATTGTGCATGATGAACACCTAACAGATATAATAAAAAAAATGACAATGACAATAAAATAAAATAAATAAAATAAAAATGACAAAATATTGAGCTAGGAAAATTCATCCACACTTGTTTCAAATCACCAAAAGAAAAATCCTAAAATGTCAAGTGCCTCAACCAACCTACACACAATTGTTTTCTGTTTCTTTTCAGTTAAATGTCTGTGAGTGTCTTGTTACATTTTGCTTGTTTTTGTTGCAGAACAAGTTGTATCAAGAATCGGTAGTAAGATTCATATGTAAATCATATAAATATGTAAGAAGTCTGTTGAAATTATTCATGTATGTTATATTATGGGGAGTACTGGAATTCCAGGTGCCCACATAGCTTAGGTGGGGCATTGTAATGCTAATGAGTAGGCCTTTGTTTTAGCCAATACATTGCAGTGCTGTTAGAAGTACACTTCGAGTAACAAGTCAGGTTGTCCTGCTCAGTGGGTACGAAGAAATTCCACACCATAGCTTCTCTAGACAGTTGCTGTATCCATATATTGTTGTGTTGCGCTCTAGTGCTCTCTGAGCCGGTTTCTGCTATTCGAGTTCAGTATTTCCAAAAAGCAGTATTGTGCCAATTTGACACAGGCAGCGGGGCTGAGTACTGGATGTGGCCGGCGTGGTATTCCTGGGGATAACTCTAGGCGGGGTTCAGTGGAACCGGCCTCTAGACCTTCAGTTTCTGAGCGTGAAGTGTATGAACGAATTCTCTCCATTAGACTAAGGACTTACAACTAACCAGCCAGTGACCTAAAGTCCGGTATGCTTCAATCTATATAGAAGATTGATACTGTTCTGCCGTGAATGTGATACACAGTTAAGTGACATATCTGCATTACATTAACAACGACCACTAGTGATAGTGAGTGAACATTGTGCTGCTGTACTTATAAGAACAACTGACATTGTATAACTTAATCGTACTGCTGTATTTATTAATAGAACTGATACAACCAAATGAATTCCTGTATGTTTATTTATAATAGGTTACAATTATTAGTGTAGGGGCCTTCACTTGTGCGCGTAAGAATAGATTTATTCTATTGATTAAATTGATTTGTTAATTCAATACGCACTAAGACTTGTAGTTTCTCCTCCCTCATACCTGATCACTCTCCTGCTAGGATGACAACGATTTACTGTTTTATTTAGGGTGGTATTTTGGGTGGATGACCTCCAGCACCAGACAATGTAAAACTTGCATTAACATTGTTTTCTCATTGTTATGCTATGTTATATAGTCACAATAATGTTACAATATGAAAACAGACAACCACTTAATCATAGTATGTACCAGGACAACAAATTATTAGTCCGAGATTGTCACAAAATAAAGCAAATCTTTTCATAACAATTATTTTTGAGAGCGTCATAATTCGTAGAAATGTCCTAGGGAGTTTTCCGACTTCCCGTACGAATCCCCGTACAGCGCCCGCGGTAAAACATGTATAGTAAATGGACAGACACCCCGCCCTTTTGAACAAATATTTAATCAAAATTAGTCAAGGTACAAATTGTTCTTTTTTCCCGACATTGTTAACGACATGAAACTAAAAACACTGCTCAAATATAGTAAATATCGGTAAATTGATCGCAATTATTTTATTATCACGTGTACGCTAGCTCGTCAAAATATTCATCTTGAAAGTTGTATTAGGAACTGGACAGAAATTACAGGGGAGGCCGGTGTTCTTAAGGGGGGTACATATTTTTCATGTAAGCGATTGGGGAAGATAATTTTATTTTGTGAAAACATGAAAGCAGGGTCACTGTTTTCTGTGCATTAAATATAATGATTATAATATACAGAAAATGCAATAAAAACATTGTGTAAATTTACCCATTTTAATAAAAGGACTATACAACAGTCGTGACTCAACAAACTAAAATAAGCGATGTTGACCCATGCAAACAGTACGTGGTACAGCAAAATTAAAATGCAAAATTGTTGAACTTGCTAATTTCCTAAAAATATTAGTCTAAATGCAAGACAAATGTTTTGGCCTTTATTTTTTGTATTAAATAGTGCATTGTTATTATTTTCTAATGTTTTCCCCACTTTTCGACTTTATTTTATAAGCATGCCTGATATTAGACATAATTGTTTAAATTCTTACTTGAACTTTTCTTCATGAACATTTTTTTTCTTCCTTTAGTTTTGTTTTGCATTTCAGTCATATATTTTATTTATATTTTAATTACAGCATGTTTAAAGGAGGATATTTCAATCACGGGGATTGCACTTCATGTCTATTTGCCTGGGAGTGGCAGTTATTTAGTTTTCTATTATAATTGTAATCTGCATATTTACATCAAGTTAAATCAGAGTACAAATTTTCCTCTTTAACCAAATAGTGTCTATGCGTTTAGGGAGGGACACTATTGTGTATGAAAATTGTAGGGATAGGTGCACAAAGTAAGGGGAGGGCACTTTTTTTTCGTGTACACATTTTTGAAAAAACACCAGCCCCCCTGTAATTTCTGTCCAGTCCAGGTGGATGGACATGGTCGTATCTTAAAGAAGTGGGGAAATTATTTAAAAAGTAAGTTTATTTTTATTTACAAGTACTGTGTAACTCGAGTCGGGACTGTAATAGGTTGGTGTAGATACAAAGTTTGAAGAGTTGAAACAGTACGTGATTCATGTTTGGATAAGTCAATATTGAAATCTCCCATGAGCACACAATTGTATTTTTCAAGTTTCAGTTGAGATAAAAAACGTATTAAACTTTTCTCAAATATCAGTACCAGGTTTCCTATAAATTATCCATATAATAACTTTCTTTTTATTTTCAACCATCAAGATTTAATGTCACGAACTGATGTTTCCAATATGTCAATAGACCATTTTCCGTTCACTGCGAGAATCACGCGTTGTGCGTGAAATCGAACGTAAAAACAGGACAAACAAAGGTCATAGCGTCGTAGTGGCGTCAAACATCGCGTGGGATTCAACAAACGCGAAAATATTTTGGGGGCATTTTCATGCTTAATAATTTGCTGTACACATTTAATGATAGACAATTTCAATTAAGTGAGGGTATTCGGAAGCAATATTCCTCTGTCGAAGATCGGCCGGTCGATGTGAGCTACGAAATAAATAAATTCGAGTTCAAAATCAAATCGTTCGATTTTTGCGGCAGACGTTCGACGCGCGTCTTTCATGCATCTCGCGAGATCTCGCAGTTGAACGGAAAATCACCTATTGAGAATCGATCAAGCTTCATTTTAACTGTATACGATTACATCTCCAAGTCATCACCAGATTACGTTTGTGGGTATATTTTATAATGACCAGTCCAAAGACTAATTGATCTCATTTTGGTGTCCACTCATTTTAAAAGAAAGGCTATACTTTGTTTCACTAGCATATGGAACATTCAGTTGCATGTATTACATTGCATTGTACATTGCAAGTGATGGTGTATACATTACGCTTGCTGTGACCCTGTGGTGAGCAGTCACCGTGTGGTAAGAGGAGACCATGTGGTACTACGCGACTGTGCAGTACAAAGTTACATGTTGTGACCCTTAGCAACCAAACTTAACAAATGAGAAAATGTAACAAATACAAGATCAGTATATTTATGCTACTCAATCATGTTTCTGCTAAAACATCCTTGTATTGTGAGTTATTAGCTTGATCGATTCTCAATTGACATATTGGAAACATCAGTTCGTGACATTAAATCTTATTATTATCTTGTCACTTTGCACAAAAATCTTTTCTTAATATGCAAAATATGTTAATTATATTCTACTAACAATCAATTGTTTTAATTGTCATCCTATTGACCTGCATCCATATTAATTAATTAACCATTATTGAAGATCCGTGGTACATCGTGGCCATTTCACAATGTAATCTCATCCTTACAATTAATTAAATACAAATTTAGTATATTAGTCTTATTTTTGACTCGTTGTTAACATAACACTGTACTATGGTATTGGTGATATATGAATTGGGTACCATAGGATGGTACTTGATGGCCAACCAACCTAATCAAATATGTATTTTGCACTGTACGAGTGCAAAATAAGTTATTAGGATATTAGTACCAGCTGTTTTATACGCATGCGCATTGGCCGATCCTGTCAAATCTCGTCATCTGTTTTGGGGCGTGTCTAACGATGTGAAATTGCTTCAGCCATTGGGTAACGGAATTAATTGGTGTCGGTGTGAAAACCGCTGTAAATAGGCGGTAAAATGAATTTACGCGGTTTCTGCGCTGCCATTTTTTGAAATATTTGGAGCAGCAATGTAAGCCGACCATTTAATTGATACAACTCTTGTCCAGAATATAGTATGATTTTAAATGGCCGAACTTATAGAGAAATCAGTCTCGTATTGGAAGGAGAGGTATCGAGGTGAGTAGATATCCTCCCCAGGACGCCGAGTTGGGCGTCGGTACCGAGAAAGAGGTGGTGAATAAGGTGTCGAGCGGCCAACATAGTAAACCAAACTTAGAACTCGCGATACTGGTGCAGACGACTATTCGAACAACCATGAAAAATAAATGGCGGGATTTTGGAGTTGCACATTTAGCACAGAAATAAAAGACACGCCCCCACAGTTGGACAACCATCA